ATTAACTGGGCAATATTTTACTGTTTATAGCAAAAATTAACTAAACAGCAGTGTCATATGATGAGTGGATATTTAGTTCAACATAGAGAAGCCCAGATATTCTGGTTTACTTGTTACGCGGAGCTAGTAGAGAAGGTGTATTCCTACGAGTTGCACAAAAAATGTCCAGGACTAAAAAACATAATCTAAGGTTTACAATTAAACGTAAGAGTGCCAATCATCTCAAAAGTAAGGAAGGACAAGCATTAATGACCGCGAGCGATAACCCCAATCAAACCATGTTTGCGGGGCTGAGAAATCTATTTGCTTACGGCTCCTTAAAATGTTCCGGGATGTAACTTTCAATGATATTGATGTTACTTTCCTTGTTAAACATATCTGCGACTCACACGTTTAGCCTTGCTCTGGTTTCACCATTAAAGTGAAAGAAAGCTGACTCGTAAATTCCTGAGATGAAGCGTTATAAAAATGACAGTAGGTGAAAAATCACAGTAGCATCAGATCAGTTAGCATACACTTGTCCAAAGATTAGTAGTCTAAGCAACTGACTGCCAATTTACGGTCCGTCGACATTAGTTTGTCGGTTTGTCTGTCCTGTGCGTTGTATGGATAGGTTCGTTTCAGCTATCACACTTAAAAGTCGGAGATCAGTTACTTTCAGTGTGCAGAATAAAAACGTGAACACTCTAATTGTGAAACGAATATTCATTCACCGACGTACATGTTCGACAGTGAACTCAATCGTAGAAAATTCATCTTCCGAATCAAGAGGAACGATACTAGATGAATGTCAAATAAAGATAAGAAAATATCGAAAAATATATACCGTACAAAAAACGCCATGAATGATCAATGTCAAGAGCGAAACGATTCCTCAAATCTTCACATATAGAATATATAATTGTAACCTGCGTACATGCTGTGTGAAAACTCTCGAACTTCATGCGTAGAAGTACGAGTAGATTGCTTAAATTTTCTCACCTCATCCGTTATTCATCATATCACGTCGCTAATTGTTATTTCATTGTAGAAATAATGTGATCAATTCATTCTGCATTCGTTGTCGTCAACTTGATCAATGAAATTCGAACGGGTGGAGTAGTACACATTTCACAATTCATTTGCTATAATTGGCTGCTCTAAAATACAGCTTTGTGAACTGCGTTCATGCTGTGTGGCAACACTCGGCCTTCAGTAATCAACAACGTGCAAAATGTGGAGATAATATTCTTACTGAGAATGCTGAATGATAGTGGCTCTCTGGTAGAAATCGTTTCCATGATAGATGACCTGTCACAAATATAATCAGTTATCGTCTCTCTGGAGAGTGAAGCAAAACTCACACTCGCATCAGCTTCTCACACACTTTGAGCAGATGACACACTGATCAGTGACAGTCAGTCATTTGTTTGTCACATAGAACATGGTAGGTTCTCACATGACTTCGAGTTGTTGTGCTGCGTGGACACAAATAGAGATCATAGATAGGTGGAATCCCTGAGTGGTGGAGCTAGTTGAAGTTTCAGTCACATTGAGAACGACTGGACGAAAATAACACTAGTGACATGAATGCAAATATAACCAGATCGAAATCGGGTATGAGGAATTCAGAAGCTGGAAGTTCGCGAAATACAAACAATGGATGTACTTGAAGCATCGCAAATGGTTTAGAGTCAAGTCATCCGGAGCTTCAGACGGTCGGCTATGCATATCACGTGAACACAAATCAAATATTTAGCATCTGTCTACATGGTCCGGTTCACTTTCCAATGACTTTGCAGTGATGCTGCCTTTCTTATCCCGGAAACAGGCGTTGAGAATGTCGGCCGTGAAAATGAAAACCTGGAATTCACCTTACGGATCTCCGCTCCTCACGCTAAGCGCTCTCAAAGAGCGGAGCAAACTCGTCAACAAATCACAATACGAATGCAGTGCGTGAACCGATTCGAGCAGTTGTCTCTGGAACTCTGTAGCCACGCTCACAGGTCACTCAACTCAACACCAACACAGCTGTTTGCATTGTGAATAACAGCTCATTTCGTACATGTCCTCGTATTGTCAGGCGCATGATGTGTAGTTTTTATTTCGACAGTGGCTGTCCCAATTGTTTCCAATAGAAACACTCCTGTACGCTTTTCCTAGTTCCGGGTCCCAACCAACTCAAAAAAGGACAAAATTCTAGGAGAAAACGTCTCTGTATTATTAGAAAATGGAAACACAAAGCCTTACGGAATTTTTGTTTCTTCCAGGGTTAGGTTACTCCGCAGAGTATCCAACACAATAGCCGATAAGTGAAGCTAAGTCCAGCAGCCACTGCGTCCGTCCGAAAATGTGGCAGTAGCCATATTATATCAAATTTAAACAATATATGTACAGTTCAGAAGCAAACCCAAAAACTTCAATATAAGTACAAATATAGAAAGAATCACAATATACAATGATAAAATCTCAAATTGGAATCAAATAAAATACCAAAAATGTCAAGAGAAAAAGTCCATCATGTCATAGCAAAATTATGTAAAAATGGCGGGATTTTCCAAAAAACAAAACATTCAAAAAGAATTCTACATGATGGTGGCCACATAGGTGAATGCGCAGTTTCACTTGCTTTCAGTTTAGCATGCTCCAGTCATAACAGTGCATTTGAAACGTTCGATCGAATGAAGTGGACTCATGAATCGTTTGAATGAAAGTGTCACTGAAATTATCAGTTCCTTCATCCATATTGCCTCTGAGTGGCACCGAATTCACGGTGCTCCCAAAAACTAGACAATCCTAGATTGTATGAAGTCACAAACGCAACCTTTCGTACGTGAACATGAAATCGATCACCGGTTTCATAATCACATAGAACTCTAATACTTCTTTTGCTACTAAAAATGAACACTGCACACTTTCAGTCAATTTCACCTTGAAATGACCTACATACATGGTGTGATGATTACCAAAGAATCCATTCTATTTGTGTGGGTTGAAATCGAAGACTCAGTTGAGCGCACAGTCTGCAATATAATAAATAACTAGCTGTGCACTTTCAATTCATATACAATGTGTTTTAATTACAAGAACTGTGTGTTGATTGCCACAAACTGTGGAACTATCCACACTAGTTAGAATTTTTGATGCTTAGAAGTACTAGTAGATTCCTTAAATTTTCTCACCTCATCCGTTATTCATCATATCACGTCGCTAATTGTTATTTCATTGTAGAAATAATGTGATCAATTCATTCTGCATTCGTTGTCGTCAACTTGATCAATGAAATTCGAACGGGTGGAGTAGTACACATTTCACAATTCATTTGCTATAATTGGCTGCTCTAAAATACAGCTTTGTGAACTGCGTTCATGCTGTGTGGCAACACTCGGCCTTCAGTAATGAACAAGGTGCAAAATGTGGAGATAATATTCTTACTGAGAATGCTGAATGATAGTGGCTCTGTGGTAGAAATCGTTTCCATGATGGATGACCTGTCACAAATATAATCATTTATCGTCTCTCTGGATGGTGAAGCAAAACTCGCACTCGCATCAGCTTCTCACACACTTTGAGCAGATGACACACTGATCAGTGACAGTCAGTCATTTGTTTGTCACATAGAATATGGTAGGTTCTCACATGACTTCGAGTTGTTGTGCTACGTGGACACAAATAGAGATCATAGATAGGTGGAATCCCTGAGTGGTGGAGCTAGTTGAAGTTTCAGTCACATTGAGAACGACTGGATGAAAATTACACTAGTGAGATGAATGCAAATATAACCAGATCGAAATCGGGTATGAGGAATTCAGAAGCTGGAAGTTCGCGAAATACAAACAATAGATGTACTTGAAGCATTGCAAATGGTTTAGAGTCAAGTCATCCGGAGCTTCAGACGGTCGGCTATGCATATCACGTGAATACAAATCAAATATTTAGCATCTTTCTACATGGTCCGGTCCAGTTTCCAAAGACTTCATGGCTTGGTGCCATGTTTGATTTGACCACCACTAGCTGTTTCTCGCAAATCTCGTTTGACTTTGCTCACAGAACACGTCTCCTCAATACCGCAGTCAACGCACAGCCATTAGTCCATCAATAGATTTTCATTCGGTTTCTGGTAGCACATATCTTACACAGATATTCCTGATTCCATGATCCCTGAATACTCGAGCGAAGCTTTGTGGTCGGAAACTATCAATCTGCGAATACCAGCAGTTTCCTGGGGATAGGTTTCACACACGCGAATACGAATGAAGAGAACTGCTGTGCCGTGAAATCGTCCTTTGATTAGCAGTCGGAGATCTCGCCCACGCCACAAGTGACGCAGAATGACGAAGGCCTATTGCGCCTTCTGTATCATTCGGACAACCAGCATTTGCAGTGATGCTGCCTTTCCTATCCCGGAAACAGGCGTTGAGAATGTCGGCCGTGAAAATGACAACCTGGAATTCACCTTACGGATCTCCGCTCCTCACGCTAAGCGCTCTCAAAGAGCGGAGCAAACTCGTCAACAAATCACAATACGAATGCAGTGCGTGAACGGATTCGAGCAGTCGTATCTGGAACTCTGTAGCCACGCTCACAGGTCACTAAACTCAACACCGACACAGCTGTTTGAATTGTGAATAACAGCTCATTTCGTACATGTCCTCGTATTGTCAGGCACATGATGGTCGCCACATAGGTGAATGCGCAGTTTCACTTGCTTTCAGTTTAGCATGCTCCAGTCATAACAGTGCATTTGAAACGTTCGATCAAATGAAGTGGACTCATGAATCGTTTGAATGAAAGTGTCACTGAAATTATCAGTTTCTTCATCCATATTGCCGCTGAGTGGCACCGAATTCACGGTGCTCCCAAAAACTAGACAATCCTAGATTGTATGAAGTCACAAACGCAACCTTTCGTACGTGAACATGAAATCGATCACCGGTTTCATAATCACATAGAACTCTAATGCTTCTTTTGCTACTAAAAATGAACACTGCACACGTTCAGTCAATTTCACCTTGAAATGACCTACATACATGGTGTGATGATTACCAAAGAATCCATTCTATTTGTGTGGGCTGAAATCGAAGACTCAGTTGAGCGAACAGTCTGCAATATAATAACTAACTAGCTGTGCACTTTCAATTCATATACAATGTGTTTTAATTACAAGAACCGTGTGTGTTTTTTGTCTGTTTTTCATGTCCTGTATTATTGATTCATTTCGAAATTATCAATAATTCTTAGACGATTCTGGATCATTTGATTTATGCTCATGGTTCTCGTTAATCCTGCATTGTAATCATGTCATTGCATAGCATTCGGAATGAAGAGGATTTTATCTTTCAATAAATTAGTATGAACGACTGATTTTCAGATATGCCTCTCTTATTTCTTATGCACAGACATTTTCTAAGCATTTTACATTTGTCTATGTTTTATTTCTTTCACCCTATGGACAGGTTACTTACTTTTACTCTGTTTAGTTTGACCAATAAAATTCACATATGATGTGATTCACATTATAACCAACAACGTATGTTAACCGAACCATGCTCGCTAATTGGTTTGTTGCTATCATCTTCAACCAATTGTCGATGCTTATCGAACATATAAAAGCAGAGGCATAAAGTTCACTGTTCTAGCGAGAATGTGGTACGCATTGCTGTTCTTCATCAACGTGTTCTTCTTGCTCACGGATGCATCCGTACAACAGGGTGAGTCACAAATATTTTCCCAATGAAGTTTATAAACTTCCACTCTATTACCGTACTTTGTTAACTAAAGTAATATAAAGATATCTTCCTAGTTCAGTGGACTATTTTTCACAGTACACATTCCTGACGATCGATGCTTATCAAAGTTATGCACATATCAATTTATCATTTGACTATCATCACGAAAAAATTTACAACAACACTGTGTTCATAATAATTTCAGGTCAGTCAACCGAAACATCGCATGCTGATACATTAAGCAAAACAAGTAAGCTGTAGTATATGAGACTATCTGTTTGATGTCTACTACATATAATACACTTCTGAGTTAGTTTACTTAGATAGCTTTAGTTTTATACCTCATATTGAAACAAATCGATCATTTTGTCAGTGTCAACGATTACGTTTGTTATACTGATTCTCTACAGAACTTTAGCCTCTTGATTTTTGTTACACAAGGTTACGTACATATCACTAATTTGTTTGATTATTATCTCACATATATATTCACATTCACACTCTGTTCACATTAATTCCAGGTGATTTGATAAGCGTTATATCGACTGAGATAGAAAAAAACATCAGTAAGCAGTAGTGTATGACTATTTTGATTCTATTTCAGCAACAGTTAAGGCATATCCTATTTGATTGTGTGTTGAAAAAAAAACTTCATGTTACTTAGCGATCCGATTCGTATTCATTGTAATTGTGATATCATGCATTGAGATCATTTAAGTTATTTAATCAATATATTTCATCGAGTGTTAGACCTTATTCATTGTATGTCAAACATTTCTCTCGATTCTAAACTAGTTGACACGGAGGATCACATAAATTACCTAAAATCTGCTGCAAACGATTTCAGTAGGTCACGAGGTAGGTTTATAATTCAGTTACAATTTGAAATAAAAGTTGAGTTAATATTAGTCGAATACTGCATACAAATGATGTTGGTTGTGCTATTGAATGTTTGAGTGTCAACGTCAGACAATAATGGATTCGAATCTAAGTGAAATGTCAGCACCACTACTGACTCCATGCACATTGGATTGTACATGGAGACAGAAAAACAACACCTTGCTCAAATTGTTCCTTCGATCTGAATAGATGCGGAAATCGGTTGAAAATGCATGTCCATGTTCAATGTTAAGTAAGATTAACAAATTAGCATTGCTTACGGCTTCCAAAATTAAGGATATCAACGGTCTGACTATCAGTTAGCAAAGAGGTAATGAAGGTGATTTTTAAAATGTATCAAAAAAGACCACTCAGCTTGATAGTTTGTTCATTTTTAAGTAATGTTGATACGCTGATTTTTCTGAGAAATTTCATCACGTTCCTTTTTCTTTATCGTTTATTTTCTCTGCAGATACAGCCAAAGAAGAAGGAAATTTACAATGTACGTAAAGCAATACTATTTTATCCTGATAACATTGTGATTTTAGACTTTGAATGCAGAAGTGAATATGAAGAAAAACAACATGGCTTGTTTCTTATGGATAGTTAGTTATAATTAGAGCGAAATCTCTTTTTTAAATCCCACTTTATTTCATTGTGACACAGAGTTGACTTGATTTTTTCATGCATAAAATTAATGAGAACCAGTGTAAACAACGGAATCAGGCGTACAATAACGTTTGGCTTTCGTCCATAAATTTGCTAACTTTTCTGATAATCATGTTTTTTTTTTTGAAAAAAAACACCACAGTCAACTTACTTTTTACATGAAAGCTCACAACTGAAAAGGTGTGCTGTATAAACGTCCTGTCGATCTTTTTATGAAAATGTCGAATTCCAAGCACTGACACATAAGTTATGAACAAACATTCAGTTATTCGTTGATACAAACAATCAAAATTCTTCTCATGTAAAATTTTTCTTGAATGGAAACGTCTTTCATTAATTTTTCTTTGTTAATCATTTATTGCGTACATTTCATAGAATTAAAAGAAATGATGAAAGAAAATGCAGATAAATACGGTAGTACGTATTCCTCACAGTGTTTCTGCCATAAGTATATGGGGGTAGGCAAATATTTTGCACAGATCATGCTTATAGTAGGTTGAGTCAAATGTGTTAACTATTTGGATGACTATATTTCATGATATATAATCAAATGAATAACATTATGCAATCGCTTGTTTACATAATCCTCATTTAAATTTCATTTCATTTGCGTTCATTGTGATACATCAAAGAACTCCTTAGTAACGTGCATGCATGGGATACTCACTGTCTTCAGCCAGTGAAAAAATACTATGAGAGTAAGATATATTATTCTTGAGATAAGCACAGACAAACATTTTTTTCTTTTCTCATATATTTGATTTTGCGTAAATGAAAAAATGTTGTCGAATTCATGAACATTGATAGGATAGCAGTTGTTCACACGTATATACAAACATGAATTCTGTATTCTTCACCTGAAATCAGTCACTTTCTGATAGATTGACTGGATTTCGAATAATTACAAGTGAATCAAGTATATTTCTTTTGTGCTTCTGAAAAAAAGAAGAATAGTTATAGATTTCACAAGATTGATAGGATGCTTTCGAACAATCTTCAAATAACACATACACTCCAAACATTGAGTTTATTTTCATATTTTAACAGATCTTCCTGCCTTGACTGAAACGGATTGTGAGAATAAGAAAGTTCAAAGAAATATAAGTAATTTGACTGGATCATTTTGATAACATTTCATTTGCAAAGGTTAAGATTAATTTCGTCAAACCATCCATCCTTCATAGGCAAAGCGTTTCCCGAAGTATTTATATTTGCATATCTTTTAGAAACCTATTTGTGAAAGTTGTAAATGTCCGGCATTTATTACTGATCTTTACCACTGGTCAAGTTAATTTCATCACCATAAATAGATGATCGATCCATGATGTGAAATATTCACACATTAGATTATCCTATGAAAACAATGAAAACAATGTGAAAGTGAAATAAATGTGAATCATTGATACAGATAATTTCAATAACAGTGCCAATTTTGACATATGAATTATATTCGAACCCGCTTCCTTTTTGCCTCACAGATTACAACAAAATAATCGATGCGACCAAGCAACTGCATAAAAGATCTGCAGACTATAATTACCGTCTACGTAAGTGAGATTGACAAATATACTCAAGATTAAGCCTTCATGGTTAAAGTAACAACATATTAGGACCATATATTTTAAACTTTTTCACCTACAACTTCGATAGCAAATATTTTCAACCACTTGGTTTATGCAAATATTCATTCTGCTAACTGCATGTCATTTTAAGATCAGTGAAGTGGCCAGAGTTATTTATCTTTTTTGTTAAACAGTAATTTGTTTTTCTCCTGTTCATTTCCAGTTAGAGATCACTTACTGAAAGATACCAGAAAACAACTTGAAAGTGATATGAAAACCTCGTAAGTTATACTATCAACATCTTACATCAACATGTTTTGTGCAAATAACTTACATTAGATACTGTGCGGTGTACAGGATTCCAATCCGTCTGATAACGACTTTAATTACAGGCCATTTGAGATAAGTGAATCATGTGGCGAAGTTAAAAGTATCTCAAACAATGCAAAATTCAATTCAACACCTTTCTTCCCTTGTTCTATGCATGTAGGTTTATGTGAGCTGACGAAACACGCTCACTTTTCATCTATCACTCTGATCACACGTTTTCACAATGTTTTCACAGTGTTGAGATATCACCTTACTGTTATTGTGTATTTACTATTAACCGTTTTCTTGCAGGTGATCCTTACGAGCGATATGACAGTGTTCACAGCCATTACTGACTACGGCGTATTCTTTCAGATTTAACTTTAAAACACTTAACACTCCGTAAAACCTCTCATTACAAGTAACCATAATTCACTATTAATAAAATCATTTTTTGCGCACATCTGTTCTTTATGCTCCAAAAATAAGTTTGTAAGCACATTTACTTCTGATCAGTCTGGATACCGTATTTATTTCATTAACAATACTGTAAATTGATACATTGAGTAAAATATGATAACAATGCGACTCTTAGAAATGTATTCCGAACTGTGACAGGAATATAATGTATGACATCTGACTGTGCAAGGAGATATTTCAGAGAGCTACCACTGAACGAATACCGGTAACCGTTTTCCCGTTCAGATGGTGAACCTTTAGTATTATTAACTCACCATATTTCTGAATCAGGAAACATGTAATGCGTTCAGTATACGCCTGCCCATAAACGGACGATGTAGAATATGAGAGAATGTCGATATATGTGTGTTGATTATTATGTATAAGTGTGAGTGAGCACAAATGTAGTAATTCTGATGTGACCGTTGTTGTAGTAGCGATTTTTGTTGTAATCCGTAGCTGGATATCCGGTTGAAGTTAGTTGATAGTATCAAGGGCAATATGTGGCGGGCTGCCAGTAGAAAATGTTATATTACAATTTTTTCAGATGTCGCACGTCATTGATCCATCTTTCCACTGATGCTCGGTAGATATTCTCTCTTTATCGAATCGTGACAGTAATATGGTATGCTATATCAATAAGAGAAAGAGTTTTTTCTGCTAAAGATCAATCAACCGAACAGCCAAATACAGCCTATCAAGTCTTTCACTGTTCTATCCACTGAAAGAAGGTTTTGTTGACTGGATAGCCTTCAGTATTATGTCTCTGCATGTGGAAGGTATTGGACCCTATATCGACCTATTCAAATAACTATTCAGAAACAATATGACTCATAGTCCAGGATAGTTATTGTAGTGTGATAACAGTGGCCTTTAATCAAATATAAGTAGAAAGCAATAATGAAACTTAACACACTCGTGAAAAGCAAACCACACACATAGAGCAAGTAGTGATCTGATGCATATCTGGAAATACATCATGGATCCATGAATTACCACGAAGTAAATTGCACTTACATCCTCAAAGTAAAACTCAACAACGATGTAGGGCATGTGTGTTCAATTCATCACAAATTTCTTAGTCTTACGTTTGATAGGAAAGATATGATTGATAGCGCATTTTTACCCGTGACACCGCTCTGCACAACAGCACTGGTTGGTGAAGAAAATATAGATGTAGAAAAAGAGCGACCTGAGTAATAGTAGTTTAGATTCAGGTAACTCACTATGTGTTTAGACTTGAAATAAATTTAAAAACAAATATTTTCTTATCACATTGTCACCAGTGGATCGTTTTGCGCTCTGTCTGGATCTGCCAGTATGTGCACAATTTCTGATACAAAGGATAATCCGCCAGGTTTAATGTACCGCATTAAATATCAGTCTAATTGATAAACCTCATACGGGAGATGTGCCATTATGTGCCTATGAGCTGGCATCCCTGATATCAACAGTTATGATATGACAATAAATAACTGTTATTATGTCTACTTGAAATGATACGAGCGATCGTTTCTGTCAGATGAGAATTTTATCTGATTCGTGTTATTGTTAGGCGACAATTTGATAGATACGGTATAATAAACTAGAGGCAATGTCAAACTACACAAGATTTTCACTATATGAAACCCAAGAAAAAGATAATAACGGATATTAGTAATACTGCGCACTTGACTTCGAATCCTAAGTAAAATATAAAAGAACAAAATCATAAATCAGTTAAAAATAACCGCTCAGTCGATGCCAAAATCTGACGTAAGCAGGTAAGTTTAAGTAAGGATGGACCAAGTACAGAACTTAAAGCAAAAAAAGGATTCTCGTGGAACAATATATAGAATGAAATTATCAACACGTGAGGGAAAAAGCGGATACTGTGAACAACTTTATTGCGGTCGAACTAGCTTCTGTATCATACAGGCAACAACAAGTACGGAAGACGGACATTGAAGTAGCGGCCACAACTACAGTAGGTCACCGCAAAATCAAACGTAACAGAAAAATATCCCAACACGACAAAAAATGCACTAACCAAATCGCAATCATAGAGAAGCTTTGGAGCATGTAGAAATCTTAAGATATCTCGGCAGTATCGCTAATTAGCACAGTACATCTGAAGCAGAATGCGTGGATTGGTAAAGGACGTGAAGATGTTATATAAATGAATAACATCTGGCATTTGGATCCAGCCATGTTTTTGATAAGTCAGTGCACAGTACAGTTCTTGGATTGTTTGCATAATTTAGGTGTGAATTTGTTAGAAAATGTCTATTGCAAAGCACTTGATATGGGCTGCTAAATAGACGTCCGCGCACAGTATACGAATTTGCTTGCAGCCGCCATAGATTTACCATTGTTTCTGAGAAAACACGAAAGAGAGAGGAATGATATAGTGAAAAGGAAATTATATATATATATATATATATACATCCAGGGCAATGATTTACCCTTCAAAATGAAGTTATCAAGTAGGGGTAATTCAAGCTGAAATTATTACTGACAAATCATTAATCGTACTTACAGTTCCCCTTGCGAAATACTTCGGTTCCGCTAACCAGATCATGATCACTAACATCCTAATCAGAATCAGAAACAACAAGATTGCATCAGACGAAAACTTAAGAACATGTTATATCGAAAACAGGTAGCAGACATACAAAGGATGAATAAAAATTCGGAATAGCTAGAAAGATGAGCTTGGGACGGATTAAGGTTGAAAATTCCGTTCAGAGGTCTTTACGCCTCTGGTGATAACATGAAAAAGTAAAAATTAAATCGTGCGATTTGTTTTGTCAGAATCTCGAAACTTAAGAGAATAATTTGTTTAGAATGAAGGTTATTCAACTGCCCCATACTGTACATCAGCCATAAGCACCGCTCGGGTATAAAACCAGAACGGAAGTTTGCTCTCCGTTCTCTCAATTTCGCGGACTACATTTAGGATATGAGAAGACAGTGAGTTGTATTATTCTGCGAGTTGTTAAGCAGGTGCGTTGTATGACAGAATCGT